CCCCAAAACCCCAAAACCCCAAAACCCCATGAACTAATAAGGAATTGTTATTAGAGTAAACTTCATTAAGATAAATTAATTTGTATCTAAACCATTTATAGTTAAACTTTTGTATAAATTGATGAGATCATTAGGAGCAATTTGTCTTAAGGAAATTAAGAATTATCAAATATCAATAATAAGCTGTTTTATTAACCTAGTTCATTATAGGGGTGGACTAGTATTCACTTCTCATTGAGCTTATCTTGTTTACACTATTGTAGTCTATTGTTTATTTCATCTCATATTTACTGCTCGATCTATTCCAATATTATTGTGTCTAGCGATATAGTTTTTAATTTGAAGCAAGAATACTGCTCTTGTTGAATTTTCTTCCAGTCTAAGAAGTGTAAGCTTTAAACTGACTATTATTTCTGCTGTTCTCATTAGCTTAGAGCAACTGACTCGTGTCTAAGTAATTAGTCATTGCAGTATTTACCATGTCTCTTCTTGCATATGCATCTCTTAGTTTTTCTTTAAGTTTATCTTTGTATTAATTAATCTAAGTTTATTCATAGTTTTTTCTCTTTATAATAAACTCCTACACATTATTGTTAAAGAAAGAAGAGTCTAACTTCTTCATCTTAGATGAGGCATTAGATTTATTCTCTAGCTTATCAAGATACAGAGATTTAGCATAATTCATTTGAGTCTTGTTATATTCTGAGACATTCTAAATAGTTGACTCATATGTCTCCTTATTTTCTATTGTAGTTTGATTGATACTTTTATTATTGTATCTTCTTATTAATTCATTCTAAGGGATTATTATCTTATCTTTTTTGGTGCTCTGATCTTGAGTTATAAATGTTTTATTCATTTTATTGAAGTCTTTAGTGATCGAATAGAAATTTTTATTTGAATACATCATCTTTTTCCTCCTTGCTGATTCTTGAGCTACTACTTCTTTAAACTTTTAGCTTGAATTTTCAAAATTTTTAACATTAGGCCTTAATGCTTTCATTGCTGAGGAAGACTCCTCATCAGTTCCACTACTTTCAAATTCTTTCATTATTCTCAAGCTGTCTTTCATATTATCGAAATACTAAGCCATCACCTTTTCAAGCTAATCAATTGAATACTGATCCTTCTTCTAGAACATATTCTAGACAAAACTTGACATCTTTCTTTTCCTATTTTATTGCTAGCTAGTTTATCCTGTAAAAAATGAATCTTCTTTGAAAAATTGATTTTTATTTACCATTGACTTCTACTGTGATTTATTCTGTTGGATTAATTACTGTTACTATTCCTTTAATAGCTATAGAGCAGTCTTTTTCATATGTCTAACTGTAACATTCTTTGCATAAAATAACCAGATTTTGCCATTATCGTCTTGAAAGAAGTCCAGATCCATTTATATTACCTCCATTTGATATATTTGCTATATATAGTAGCCTATTTTTAAAGCCTATCTTTGGCAGTAAGAATGAGGATCAATCCTTCGCAATATTTCTTCAACTTCTTTTTAAATCTCAAAGTTTGTTTAAATAATCCCATGAAACTATGCATCATCTATAACTTTTTACTCTTCTCTCTTGCCAATCAAATCAAATTAGTACTCAATTTCTTAGTTTATATGTTCCTTGTTTTTTACTTCTACTTTAAATGGAATGAAAATATGCTTGCCTAATCCTACTTTACTTTTTACACAAGTCTGAATGCACTCTAAACTTTTCCAAAATGGATCATTTGCTCTTCTTCTAAATTCACTTATGAACTCGGATTCATTTTCTACTTTTACACACCCATCATTATCTCTGAGTATAGCTGCATCTTTATAATGTTGCTAGTTTTCATCACCATTTTCATCTTCAAATATCGCAGATTAGTTATATGGTTCTTTGGATGTTCTAGACTTTTATATAGACTAAAACTGTTGATTATTAACAGTGTTATCGTTGTTATTACCTTACTCTGTTTTATTTTTACTTATAACACTCAACTATTTTTCAAGAAACATATTTGAGCTACTTCCTTCTCTATTATTATCTTTAAGATCCGCCTATCTTTATTGCTAAAGTTTTATTTATTCAAATGATAATTCCTTTCTTCTTTCTCTAACAATGTAGGAAAAGGTTCTCCTAATATCCTGTAAGATTAATTTTTACTCTTATCTAGTACATGATATAAAGCCATCTTTATCAGTTCTAACAACTTCAGTTATTCTACCTTAGTCATCGAAGAAAGCTGTGTCTGTAAAATTTATCGGACAGCCCTATATTTATTCATGAGGACCACAAAGTTTAAGCATGAACTGTCTAAAATTTAGATTCTCAATTTTATTGCTGTTTAATAACTACGTATTAGTCTAAAGCAGACTGAAAGTTCCATCGTTATTAGTACTCAATATTGAGTTTCTTTTGCTTTCACTTATGCCCCTCTACAGAAGACTTGCTTTTTTAATGTTATAAAAATTCATTAGGTCAACTGTCTCAATCGGCATTATATGCATTTGCTTATTTTTATTGAAATGAAGACATATAGTGCATTAGCAGGCTGTAAAACCTTTATTTCTGCTGATATCATCATTTTTATGTTTCCTATAATGCTACTCCATTTGCTACTTTGTTAAGGTATTTGCTCTACTTCAACTCTGATTCTCATTTAGATTGAAAATATCAACTTCGATGGAAGGATTGTTCGAATAGTCGTTCAATAAATTTTAATTATTCTCTTGTAGCATTAATTTTTCTTTATTTTATTATTATTAATGCTTTACAATCTTTACAGAAATAAAGATTAACGGGGTTTTGGGGTTTTGGGG